CAATGAAGGGGCTGATTTGTCGCCCGTTAGCGATCCGGGGCCAAAGCACCCTTAGAATACTCTTCGGTCTTTGAGCGCGTAGCGGCCAGCGTGGTTATCAGACATGTGCAAGTACCGACCGCGCAGGGAGAAATACCATGCCGTTGGTTTGAGATCTTTTGAGCGGTGCTCTTTAATTTCGTGTGGACCGCATTGACATTTTGATTGTATCCCCACGTCGGATCAACCATGCAGGCGATGGATATGGACGGTGAAAGCAGAAAAAAACACCGAGCCAAGACAGTTTAAGAAAAAAAAAAAACGGGATTCATTCGCCCCGCCCGACAAGACGTCTGTATAAATGGTCACATCTCCCTGCCTTGTTCTGGGTGCTGCCAAGAACAATAACGCAACCACACAACAAGACGTACAAACAGCCCCACAACGGCGCTACAAACAACAAGACTAACGCGGCGACACTCCACCTCCGCGGTGATGCAACGCACAAAATAACCTGCATCCCCACATTGGTAGGCATAGGGCATGGCAGCAAGCCGCCGCCGAAAAATCGCCGGACCAACCATGCACGACGGAAAAAAAACAACGTGCCTTGTCGCAACACAACATTACATCTCCTTGCCGTGCCTTGTGGGCGCTGCCGAAGAAAGCAACGAAGGCACAACAACACATGGAACGATGCAGCCACACTACGAGATTACCAAATAGTACTCTCTCGCTTATGCCAGAATGGCGTAAAGGGTGAGGTGGTGAAGTGCAGCGCGGGAAACAAATGGCATACACATAGTTGTGCTGCCGGGAAATTACGCTCACGGAAAATAAGGATCTGCAACGGACGGACCAGTTGCATCTCATTAATCTTGAACGCCACCACCACAAAAAACCACCACTTCGATTCGCATCTACCCTGCCCTGCCGCCAAACGTCTCCATCCCTAACTTGCGTGTTGTGGCCCATCCGAGCGAATATTACGTGTCAAGTAGAAAAAACGAAAAGGCTACGCCAACATGCATCTCTAAGTCAAGATGCAGCCAAAGACCCCACCAAACATGGTATTCGTCACACGTGATATAGGAGGAGGTTAAAAAGTACTGAGAAGACACCAGCACAGCCGGCGCCGTCCACAACAGGTAAGTGCTAACCGTGCGCGCCCCACGCACCCACGTGCCGGCTACCTAGCCATCCTCACTAGCTGCCGCCGTTTCTTTTCTGATTTGGGCCCTCACGGTCGTCGCCCGGTCCCGCAAGAGCTGTAGGTCTTCTTCGTCAGCGTCCGAACCCAGCTCCTTCTCCTTCCTGATGTCCTCCTTGATTTCCTGGAGTTCTTCACGGAGCTTGGCGATATATTCGAGTTTGGCCGTCTTGTTCTCTAACCCCTCCTTCGTGTCGTAGGAGGATGTCGGGGCGTCGGCGTACGTGGGTGCGAACGACGTTTCCGAACAGGGCGTCAAGGCCGAGCTCCCCCTTCATCGTGGACATAGCGACCTTCGCCGTGTTCTCGATCTGCGCGTCCTGCTTCTTCTTTTTCTTCTGGTGGCCACTGACGCCCACGTTCCTCTCCCTGGATTCCACTTTCGCGACCTTCCGCTCACTAGCATCCGCCGAAGCGCCCTGGGCACCACTGTGTCCATCTCCCGCGGTCTCCACCCCCGTACTCTCCCTCGCGGTGCCGTCGGGGAGCATCTGGTCGCACACGGCCAGGATGTCAGGGCACTTCTTGGCCGTCAGCCCGAAGTAGTATGTGTCTAAGGTTTCTGCTTTTTCGGGGAGGGGTCCGGATTGGATGTGGGGGGGGAGGGCGGGGCGGCGAAGTAGATGATCAAGCGCAAGCCGAGGTTTGTCAGCATTCGATCACAAACGTTAAGAGGAACTTTGCGTTGTTTGGCGTTGACTACCGTCTAAGGTTAGTTCTGGGCCCATGGATTCACAAACCTACATGCTTTTCGACGCAACACGATGGGGAGCACGCGCCAGGATGGAGAGGCCAAACACAAGCACCACACACGCACGCGCTCGCGAGCATTCAAACACTAAATACCCCGTGCACCTCGTCTACCCTCAAACATACACAAGGCTCGTTTTGTCACTGCACAACAGAAACAACATGGTCGGGCCGGAGTATTAAACTCACCCTTGCAGAAGGAAAACATATCTCCGTTGCTGCCAGATTTCTTGAAGTTGGAGTACATTTCGCCGTGGTCCTTGAAGAGGTCGGTCCTCATGGTCGCGAACTTCTGGAAGCTGATGTCCGGCTGGTGTACGACGTTGGGGTTGATGCCGGCGCCAAAGATGTTGCTGTCGTCCGCGAAGGAACTGGGCACCTGCAATGTTACGTTGTTGGCACAAATACAGGCAAAGGGGGGGGCGCTTGCGTTTTGGTCCTCTATCTTTGCCTTGGTTCGCCAAAATGTGCACAGCAAAGAAACACCGAAGGTTTGACCTCGGGACCGCAAGTGGTATGCGGCGTGCATGCAGGTGCCAATCACAAAAAACTACCGCCTCGTGCAGGCCACAACGGAGGATACCACCTCCACTACACCTAGATCAAACTGGAACATGCAAAAAAAATTGAGAAAGCACCTCACCTTGAACTTTTCGTCCTTGAACGCCTCCCAAATCTCGAGATGGATGTCCCGGGTCGTCCCCTTCTGCTTGGCGTCCAGCTCCTTCTTGCTCAGCTGCAACCTACTGGCGCCAAACCTCTCCCTGAACTGCGGATGCATCAGAAGTTCACAAAAGCGAGGGACGCAGTGCTTGCTCTTCCTCCGCTGTCCGATGCCCTCGCCCCGCCCATCGGCGCGATCTTCCTCCTTGATCGCCGCCATGATGGCGGCGACCGTGTACGACTTGCCATCACAGTCGTACATCTTGTTCGGCTCGGGGCTGAGCCCACTCCGGATTGCAGCGCGTACCGCTGTGATGAGGTTTTGAGGAACTCGTTGCGCCTCCGCGCTAGATGCTGGCGGCTTCGATGGTGGCGTTCCACCTGACAATACCATCAGCGCCAACGAGCGGGGGATGGGCAGGGCCGTGTCGGAGGTTGTTCATACATTACACACCCCTATGCATTTCTCGGCACAAGCTCGCCGAAAACCTGGCTGGCGAGGGCTTCCTTGCTTTTGCAGCATTTGACACTTACGGTAGGGTTGGACGCTGCGCTTCCGTGTCAGGACTGCTTGTTCGCAGAGCATCTACTGTAACTCACTTCCTCGACTGCTTGCGACTCCTAGGAATTGGTACGACACATGCCGTGCCTGGATCGGAGCCACAAGGCATCGCCTCCTCTCTTCTTCTCTCTCACGCCACGAAGAAAGAAAACCTGCTGGGATGGTATCGTCCAAAAATAAACCTGTTGTGCGGTTGCTCCCCGCTGTCGAAACACAGCACGCTTTTTCTCCCAAAGGCAACACCGCAAAATCACGAACGTAGGAAAAGCAACACATTTCGACGGAGCTACCCAGGTCCCATGCAAGCCTTGAAAGAACAGGCTCGTGACAACACTACCACGAGCATTGTCTGGTGATCATTGGGTCTTCACCTGTTGCCTTGTCCTTCAAGATAGCGAGATACGGACTGCTCCTGCTCATGACGATGTCGAGCTGCGTCAACCCCGCTGCCATCTTGTCTGTGTCTTTTGACCTCGAGTAGCCGCTGAGCCTCCGCAGTGCGCAGGCTTCCCTGAGCAGGTAGGCCGACCTCTTGTTGTAGCTCTTGTAGCGGTTGCGATTCAGCGAGCTTTGAAGCTGACGCATGGTCCTTGCCACGGACTCGACCGCCGCGCTGCTGCCAGCTCGGCTCAACCGGTCCCCGCCAGCTCCGCTCGAGCTGCCTCCGTCAGCTCCGCCTGCTGCCCTGCCGTGTTGTCGGCCACGGTCATCGTCCTCTGACTCGCTGTCGCTGTTCCCTGAGTCGCTGCTTGATGAGCCGACACGGATGGACCCTCCGTCGGACGTAGAATTGAAACGTGCGTCCTGGAGGATGGCATCCACTTCATGAGAACGATGGTCCGCCGCGCTTCTTGTACCCGTTCTCTGCTGCGCAGAAGCAGTGGGCGCCACGTGACCGGCCCCCCCAGCTACGCCCTCGCTCTGCGTGTTGGTGTTGGAAGCGCCTCCCGTGTTCGAACGAGCGGTCCCCTTGAAGCCAGGCAGAGGGTTCGGGGTGCTGGACAACAAGCCGCCACCGCCGACAGCAGCCCCGAGAGACCCGTTGTGCTGGTATTTCGCCGGGACTTTGGTGTGACGACCACGCAGGGTTGTCGTGGTCTCCACGCTGTTGTCCATGGTGTCGATATGCGGGCTGTGTGTGGTATATCGCTTGCGTGTTGCTGCACGTGTCACGCGCGGCTCTTTCTTTTTGGAGCAACTCCACATCACAGCAAGTCACAGCGTTTAAAATGATTTTTTTTGCTTCCAAGCTTTTGTAGCAAAAGTTCGTAGTTTTTGGAACGAAAGTTTGGAGTGTTTAAAACGGCCCTTAGATGTCCTCGAGTAACAATTACCGGAATATTTGTCAAAACACCTTTTCGGATCCTCGCTGGCGGGGCCAGACCACGAAAATTTGTCCTCGGGTGCAAGATGGAGGAGTCGTTTCGGTACGGTAGGAAGCGTCGGGAGTACCGCGCCCAAGTGGTGTTAGGGTTGTATGAAGCGCGTGTTTTTATAATGTTGTCGATGCTTACTTCTTGCTCGTGACTACGTCCCTCGTCTGTGTGTGTGTGTGTGTGTGTGTGTGTGTGTGTGTGTGTGTCTCTCTCTCTCTCTCCCCACCCGAAGGTAGACGCTGGTTGGTTTGACCGAGTCTGGTACAAAGACGCCTCGGTCCTTGCCTTGCAACTCGGCGCCTTCGCCGCTGGCGTCCTTGTAACGCGTGTTAACCCGTGGCTCGGCACCCTCGTGATGGGGATAGCGCACACCACGGGCGGCTGGCTCGCGCACGACATGGTGCACGGTCGCGGGGGGTGAGTCGTTAGCGAGGATGGGTCTCTCGCGTGTTGTGTCGACCGGGTGCGTCCGATCGGAGATGTATCCGGCGTTGCTGTGTTGTTGTTGTTGTTGTTGTTGTTGTTGTTGTTGTTTTTGTTGTCACGTTGTTGAAATTGTTGTTGTCGTTGTGGTTCAGCGTCGTCGTCGTTCTTGTCGATGCATTCGTCCCCGCTTCGAGGCAATCATGACTCTTGAGAAAACATGAGTGTCCTTCAAACGTCAAAGTGTCGTTACAATCGTACCTCAATGATCCAGGTACTGCACCGCGATGCGACACTACGGGGCGCTTATGTGTGGGCTGAGCTCCAGGTGGTGGTCGGAGAAGCACAATTTGCACCACGCCTTCACCAACGTTATCGGGGCCGATGAAGACATCATCGTAAGTGGATAGTGCATATCATCCTAAGCAGTGCACTCGGTTGTGGTTGTGCTTGTTATATGTTGTCGTCGGGTGGTTCTGTATTGAACCTTACCCGGGCCAAACGGGCGAGAAAGATAACTCACTTCGCAAGCAACCAAAGATCAAGAGCACCAAGTGTCATTTGACGCAACAACGGGCACTTCCATGATAGAAATCAACCAAACATGCAGGGTAGGGGGCCTCAGGGAGAGGAACCCTTCTGTGTGACGACAGGTTGGAGTAGACGGCACAAGTGCTGTGAGCGCTGATTTGAAATGAAAGTAATGATAAATAAGGCATCAAGAACACAAGGCATCAACGCTAAAACATGGCATATCGAAATCGTCGGCGTCAAACGACAACGATTACAGGTAGAGCCCGCGCTGTGGCTCTGGGCGCCTGACGACGGTCGCGACAGGCCGTGGAGGAAGTTCCAGCACCTCTACTGGCCCCTGCCCTTCTCTCTCACGTTTCTGCTTTGGCGCTTTGGCTCCGTCAAGACCGCAATTTCGGAGAAACTGAAGCTCGAGGTGAGGGGTTTCGATATTTGTGGTGGCTTTTTTACCTGGGGGG